TTTTATATACATTTTTTAACCTAAGTGACACTAAATATCATAAATATTATCCATTTATACAATTTTGCAAAATCACGGTTCCGAAAGTAGTCAGATACCTTAAGTTCGGTGAATAGTCCTGTAGTATTAACGCATATGAAATATTAACGAAAGTAACCTTACTGTCCTTCCAAGTAGTCACCTCCCATAACTAAGCGTTGCTTAGATCTGCTACACATGTCCTGGAAACTTTGCAAGAAGTCTTCTTATGCGGTGAAGTTCAAAAGCCTTGTCACATTTCGTCGGATGTCAGGAATATCGTCAAATCTCTTTCCTTTCAAAGTGATTTTGAGTCATGATAAAAGGAAATCTGATTGAGATCTCCGATAAGTGTAGTGGATGTTCATTTTGCTCTACCCCCTTTTTTTCCAGGAAATGTTATACGATACTGGCTGTGTGAGCATTGCCAAGAACAAAAACCATAGACCTTGCTGTGCATACTGGTGTCTTACCCTGCGTAGATGTTTCACGAAACGGTTCAAAATTTGAATGTACATAACAACATTCATCGTCGTTCCCTCAGGCAGAAATCCTTGGGGATAATGCCTTGACTCAGTGCTTCTCAAAGTTTAAATATACGCGACCCACTATTCTATCATCTTTTTCATCGCGCCCCCTTCCATACAATAACAATGCATTGAATTCAATAATACTATATTTTGACACTAAAGCTACAATACGACTTTAACCTCTTATGTACCACCCACGTATGTAAACGTCTATCTCAGACAAAACATTAATATTCTGGACTTATAAATACGTCTTTCCGAAGTACGATCTTTTCTGTGTAGTACTATCCATAAAAGTATTCCGAAGGCTTTGGAATGCAATAAAAGGACCTTGACATTGTTTGCGAAGGATTTACTTATTTCAGAATATTTGCTTATTCATTTCTTTTTTCCTCCCCCTCCCCCCTAAAAATACATCAAAATACGCTCGTGTACATAGAAAACGGTGGCATTAAGGAGCGAATCGCGTAACTTTTAATCGGCAGTTAAGAAGTTAATTATAAACTGTACAAAAAATTATCAAGATAAGTGTGGTAATGTGTGCAAGGCCATGGGTAAATGATATTTATCAAACTTGTTGTTAACTTAGTATTGTTAAATTAATAATAAAATATACATTGTACACCAGTGTTTCTCAAACTGTGGGGCGCACCCCCCTAGGGGTGCGTCATAACCCTACAAGGGGGGCGCGAGCATATTGAAAAGTCGAAATCAAAAGATTATTTAAAGAAATTATTAATTTTCTGTGAAAGTAAACAAACAAAAAACATTTTGACATAATAAAAAATAAAAAACACATTTAGACTCATATAATATACTTATAAATGTATCAGTACTACTCAATTTATTTTTTTAATTTAACAATATTAAATTAAGAACGTTTAACAATTACCAGTAAGCCCATGGGCTCTTCATATGTAAAATTCTATGCAAAAAAAAAATACTTTATGATTTGTCCGGTTTATAATTATTTATTTCAATGCCGATTACAAATTACACGATTTGCTCCCCAATACTACCGTTTAACACATAGGTGAGCGTATATGGTGTATTGGGGGAAGGGGGTAGTAAAGGAATAAATAAGCAATTCCTCTGAAACAAGTAAATTCTTCGCAAACACTGTCAAGGTAACTTTATTGCATTCCAAAGCCTTCGGAATAATTTTATGGATAGCAGTGCACAGAAAAGATCGTACTGAGGAAAGACGTAAATATACGTCCGGGGAAATTAAAGCACTAGCTGAGCGAGACGTTTATATACGCCGGCAGCATTTAAGAGATTAAAGTCGAATTGTAAGTTTAGCGTCAAAATATAGTATTATTGAATGTAATACATTGTTATTGTATGGGGGGGGCGCGAGGAAAATTATGATTGAATATTGGGTCGCAAATATTGAAAGTTTGAGAAACACTGTTGTACACACACAGAACTGATACACATTTATATGTGTATTATATCAGTGTAAATGTGTATTTTATATTTTATTATATCAAAAAGTATTTTGTTTGCTTACTTTCAGTATATTAATAATTGTTAAATAAACTTTTGTTTTCGAATTTTCGATATGCTCGCGCCCTCCTCGTAGAGTTATCTCGCCCCCCAAAGAGTGCGCGCCCCACAGTTTGAGAAACGCTGCCTTGACTATAAAAAAGGTGATGAACCTCGTTTTGATGAGTGATTTTTCTCCTCCGATCTTTTACCGATGAGGTGATGTAGGACAGTGCCATTCCATGCTTTGCCGTTTAGTTTCAGTCTCGTTCTTGAGACACCAGGACATCCTCAGTGACAATACAGTTCAAGAAATTTGGTGTCGCATCCACTGATTCCACAAAATTCTGTGAAGGCTCTAAATGTGCCTGCTTCTGATCGTCAGTCAAGTGATTTAGCACAAGACTACAACACGTTTTTTCTCATCCCAAAATTCTGAGTAACGATTTGTCACACAGATTCATCAATAATCTACAGTTCATCAGCTATCATGCACACAAATGGTCCACGATCTTTAGTGATTAAGTTCCTCACTTTCTCAATGTCTTCATCAGTGATGGAGGTCACTGGTCTTCCACTACGGGGGTTGTCAGAAACACTTTTCCTGCCTTCTCGAAAACGGGCGAACCACTCGTACACACATTTCACGGACGGTGCTTGATCCTCATAATAAAGTACTAACATTGCATAAACTTCTTTCGTAGTCTTTCCAAGCTTAAAACAAAACTTGAAATTGATCTTTTATTCGTTCATTTTCCTCCCTCAGTTAAGAACCAAATCATTAAATAGACTTTTTATAAAACAAGTCTTATATGGAACGAAAAACAACGCTCAACTGAAAAACGGTGAGTGCAGATGGTCAACACCTGCCACTATGCATGTGCTAAGTTTTGTTTCGCCAGTGTCGCCAGTTCGGCCGTTCTGATATCATTCACCGAACTTTATTGTCAGAGGATGTAAAACATCATGATGTAGGATTTTCCAGAAAGCGAAAGATGGTAGGGGGAGCCCCTAAGCAAATATTTCTTCACACTCCTCTTCAATTAATATTCACTTTTCGCGACCTATTTTTACTAAGTATATCTTATGTATAAATAAATTTATTACAGTATCACTAAAAAATGTTTTTTTGTATATAGAGGGATAACATTATTTATTTTATAGAATAATTCGAAAGGCTTCATTAGTACAAATAATAGATAAAAAAAAAAAAAATAAGACACGTTGAAGTTTATAAAAAAATATTATCTTATAATGAAAAAATTTAATATTTAAGTTAATTTTTCATAGCCAGAAGATTCACGAAATAAATATTTAAAAGTGCAAAAGTAAAGCTTTGTATCAAAAAAAGTTCAAATTACCGGTGAGGAAATACAAAGTGAGTTAAAGACCTGTATTTAAAAAAAAAAAAATTTTAAGGAATGTGTGTTTTTTATAAAACCATTGAATATATAAATTAATTTTTAAAGTTAAATCTTGGAAGATTTAACAGTTTCAATTTTTTTTTAAATTTACTTTATGAAGTATAAATATAAATTTATATTATTTAATTTTTTTAGCGTGTAAAAGGAAGATTATTAACTAATTCCTACTGACAAAAAATAAAGTAATGTAAATTAAAATAACGTCTTAGAAAAAGTACTTGTATTTTTTTATTGAGTTTCATTTGGATTGACCAAAAATGGAAATACAATTGCTGCTTAATTTTTTTTCTAAGTTTAATTATAATTTTCTGAACCTTTTGTAGATTAAAAAATAATCACTTTCACATTTTTTATTATATTATTTTTGCTATGAGTATCTTAAAAATACGAAAAGGATTTTTTGTTTAAATAATCATTTCTTGTAATGCCATTTTTTATAAACATTGTTTTCATTTCTTTTTGTTTGTCCTTGATTTCAGAATGCAGTCCTTTGTTGATTTCTACATCACAACAGATTTTTTTTCCCTCTTCTTCTCTTATTTTTGTAATGGCGAAATTCTTTTTTCAAAAAAAAATTGTTCTTATATTTATTTGCTTATTTTCAATTCAAAAATGGAAAACATGTTAATACTTAAGTAAAAAGAAACAAATCGTATAATTTAGAATTTGAAGTTGTCAAACATCCTAAAGGACATTTTAGGCATTCAAGGTTTTGACGCTAAAATGTTTTTCAGATATATTCCTTTGCTTTTTTTTTCTTGTTTTAAAACCCTTTATTATGCAAAATTTAATTTGGTGTTTTATTTATTTTTATAGTTATTTTTAATAAAACACCAGAGTTTACCACCCCCCTCACTTCGCCAGATTTTTCATGACGTTGTATGAATGTTTACAGTTTTTTTTTTCTTTGAAGTAATTGATATTTAAATACTATCATTAAGTTTTCAATTATAATTTAAATATTATAGCTTTCAACTCTTCGTTAAATAGGCCGGACTTGAATATCTAAAACGACAGTACCATATCCCTCCCCATAAGTCAATTTCCACGAACCACTTTTCAGTAAAATTCTAATAAGCAAAATAAACATGCTTGCCAAATTTAAAATATGTAGGTCTAATAGCTCTAAAATGCACCCGCTATTCCCTTTGGAGTAGATTTAAGCAAAACCCGTTCTTAGCGGATCTCTACAAAAAAATAATAATAAGTGTGTGTGTACTTATGTACGCACGTAAAAAGTTTTACTTCTTTGGCGTAACAAAATTAAAATATTTCTAAAAATCTTTAGCAGGGCAAGCTGGGCAAAGGACGAAAGGCGGTCACGAGCAGAGTTGAACGATACTAATCTTCAGTCAATCGGACCAGCCAAACCTGAGATAATCACGATTTAAATAAATTTAAACACCCCCACACAGGAACAATAGGACCAATAATATGGGGGGGGTCGAAGGTGGGAATGATCTGTTCCGTTCTGCATATTTCTAGACAAAGCATCTTCGTATCCGTTCCTACGGAATACAAAGCAAAGGTTCGTTGACGCGGGAGTATAGCTCAGTTGTAGAGCATTCGATTGCAGATCGATAAGTCCCGGTTCAAACCCGGATGCTCCCTTCTTCAGGGAAGTGAAGAGAAATAATGTTTTGAGAAATTCGAAGGCGGGAATGATCTATCCCATTCTGCATATTTCTAATCGAAGGATTTTCGTATCCGTTCCTACGCAACGCGGAGCAAGGATTATCTGACACGGGGTGTATAGCTCAGTGGTAGAGCATTCGAATGCAGATCGAGAGGTCTCCGTTTCAAACCCGGGTGCCCCCTTCTTCAGGGAAGTGAAGAGAAATATTTTTCTGAGTGTTTCGAAGGCGGGAATGATTTGTCCCGTTCGGTATATTTCTAGAAAACGGATTTTCACATCCGAGACGGTGTGCATCACATCCGTGACGGTTTTGCGTCACATCCGTGACA